AAGGGGTTTTCATATGAAAGAAGACGTTTTCTGTTATAAAAATCATTGAGTGGGGCAATTAGCCAATTAGCCACAAGCTAACTAGTGCAATGTATTTATTCAGCTCTAGAATCTGGTCAGGTTTTCACATCCTGCTGCTGAACACAAAATATCTGCAGTGAATTCTTAAGTCTGTTCAGAGTAGTGTGACTGTCTGCGGAAAATTCAGGCCAGGAGATGAGAAGAATATGGGGACACTGGCCAATACTGATGGTCCTGGGTCACCAGCTCTTCATGTAGAAAACAATCATCAGTGCCTTTTAAATGCAATTTGTAGGTCTTCCACAGACAAGGAGTGACCTTTAACCAGTTGCTTCTCCATCCTCCAAGCAACTGTGGACAGACTTGCACCATAGCTTCTGAGATCTGATGATGATTTAAATATTAATAGCAATACACCGGAATAGAAGTGCTCCTGAATTCAGAACAAGTTTTGAAAAGATTTTAAGTGCTTAAGCTTCTACTTTCCACTTTCTAAAACTGGGAGAAGGGATCTCCAAGACGGAGTGTGCATGAGAGGAAGCAATAGGAATGAAATGGGAAAGGTTATTTACTGTATTAGCATTAAGTAGGATTAGCATTAAGTTTGTCATCGTTGACTGTTTAGCGAAGGGAGAAGCCTTGGATCAGGAATAACAAGCTGAGTCTTACCTGTTCCAGCAGAGCACCTTCATCTGCAGGCTACAGAGTCAACCTCAATTTCTCTAGGACACACCGAACCCTAATAGTTTTTCTGTGTGTGGCCACAACTGCAAGGGGAAGTGTTGGAAGTGCCTTTTCCCAAGGGCAGTGTTATGGCGTAGTGTTGTGTATGTGGTTAAGGCACTCTGCAATGGGAAGGAAGAAGCTTCCGGCACCAGCACGTACCCTGGTTCCTGGGTGAGCTGACTAATCAAGGAAGCTTCAGGGTAAGTTCCTGACTGAGATGCACCAGGGCTGCTGTTCCTGCAGTCTCCTAAAGAAAATGCAAACTCAACCCTGTTTTCAAAGTACTTTCTCTGGATCTGGTGAAAAATGTCCTCTTGCTCCCCAGGGAATCTCTTGTTAGTTTCCATATATACTCCCCTTTATCTGAGAATTCCAGCTGTACAAATAGGGTTGTATTTAAATTCTTGTTCTGCATTTCTTTCTTTTTTTTGTGTTTCAGATTTTTCACCCGACAGCCATGTCCTGCTACGATCTGTGTCCTCCCACTCCCTGTGGCCCAACCCCGCTGGCCAATAGCTGCAATGAGCCCTGTGTCAGGCAGTGCCAGGACTCCACAGTGGTGATCCAGCCCTCTCCTGTGGTGGTGACCCTGCCTGGACCCATCCTCAGCTCCTTCCCCCAGAACACCGCCGTGGGTTCCTCAGCATCGGCAGCCGTCGGGAGTGCCCTCAGCGCAGGAGGGGTCCCTATATCCTCCGGCAGCTCCTTGGGATTTGGGGGCTTTGGGTATCCAGGCCTGGGCAGTGGGTACAGCCGGCCCTACCGTCGCTACAACGCCTACCGCAGTGGCTTCTATGGGCCGTGCTAAAGCATGAGGAGCAAGTAGATGGAATGACCAGGAACGCTGAAGCATGATCCAACACAGGACTGAGCTCATGGCCATGGTTTTCAGAAGTGATGTTAGATACTCACAATCTGAAGTTAGTGGATCTGTGGGAGCTAAGCATCTCCTAAAATCAGGCCTTTGCTTGTCTTACTTTTGTTATGCTTTACTTTATATTTCTGTTCAAATGTCCTGTTCTCTTATGCTTTTTTTTTTTTTTGTACTTGACAATTACTAGGTAAAATATGTAATTTTCAGAAATTACTCTGCATGACTGATTTAGTACAGTGCACTTAAACAATGAAGAAGGAAGTTATCTTTTTACTGAGTGTGACATTGTGAGAGGGCTGAGTGGGTACTGTCCTATGTGGACCATAGAAATGTGTTCCCTACACTTTACATTACTTCCTTCCATTCCTCAGCCTCATTAAATTTGTGCTGCATCATATTCTGAGTCTGCCTCCACTTCTTTCTTCTCCCAGTCCCTTTTCCAGCTTGTTTGTGGGGAAACAGGTCCCTTTGCAAGTCACCAGTTCCAGAAAACACTGTGCAGATAACTTCATGCCATTGCCAAGGGAGAATGAGTCTGATTTCAGTTGTGGGAAAAGGTTTTTCTTTTGTCTAAACATGGTAAATACAGCCCCAAACAATTTATCAAAAGCTAGAAAGAGATGATGTTCACCTGCAATGGGTGCATCTCCTGCTGTTGCATAAACAGGAAATCTTGAAGTAAGGGAGCTGCTTCTCTTTACACTTTAAGACCCTTTACTTACTGTACCATGGAGATAGAAAAAGGCCCTTTAACTGTCTTAGTGTTGTTCTTTTATAAGAAAGTGTTTGTTTTGAGGTGGGTGTCTTCGAAGAGGGATGAGAACAGGGCAATAAGCTGATTTGAGGAGGGGAATTAGCTCCCCTTCACTGAGAGTTTGAATAGCCTAATTTCAGGAAAAAGCTCACTGATGGGAACACTGTTTCTCCTTATCCTTCTGAGGATGTAATAGACAAAAGTGTCTACATAGAAAAGAGGACAGAGAGAGGCAGCAGGAAAATCTACAGGGGCATGAGGAACATTAGAAATTATAGGGATAACCCTTCTTCTGAAACACTAACTCCACTCGTCTGTTCTCATCTTGCTGCACAAATAGGATACCTGTGCTATTACCTGGGCAACCTGGAAGAAGATTGTGGCTTTCTTTACCCTCTCTGTGATACTTAGGAAGACCCCTTTAAAAGAAGGGGGAGATGATGCTTTTCTTGAGCACAGCTGATCTTAATCTGGACAGAGTTGAAGGGAGAGAGGCAGAATCTGGTGCAGCTCTTTGAGTGTAGTTTTCTGGTGAGCACAGAACCTCTTGGCAGCGGAGATCAGGCTTGGGTAAGTCTTAGAGGGGAGGAAGAGAAGGTTTGTTGGTGATTTGGCAAGTGAATTGACCTTTAAAACTTGTGGTCCTGGAAAGCACGTCTAGGAGAAAGAGAATAAAAGATTTTAAGGTCTAACCCTTTCTCAGTGTGTCTTTATAAACTGACTCCTACCCATCACTTGTAGTAGATGTGGACTTTATCAGGCATTGCTTTGGTCTGACTTGATCATCTGTGTTGCAATAAATGTCCTGTTTAGAGACTGGGAGCTTTGGTGTCCAAAGGAAAATGGTTTGAAAACTTCTACTTGAAGGCTCTGGATGATTCGGTGAGCCTGATATCTGGGAAATTTCTGGCTTGGAGTCTCTGTCTGTGTCTGGACAGCCTGATGCTGAACTGTAATTAAAGCCAGGGAAAGCTGTTGACAAAGTTATAATGAGTACAGTCATTAGTGGAGCTAAATTAAAGGCGGAACATCAGTTCCATGAAAGAATTAATAATTTTTAAGGAGCAGGTTTTACTAATACGCAACAGAAGAGAATGGAAAGTTGCAGTTTGATATTGTAATACAGCAGAAGGTTGGTCTGAATTAAATGTGTAATATATTTTTTTGCCACCTCAACTGAAGCTATTGCTTGATCAAAGGGGATGCGTTCCAAAGGAGTCATCGTTCTTTTGCAGTTGTTGCAAAATAGATTTCTTTTATGGAAAGAGTATCTAATGTATCTAACACAGCAAAGAAGTTACAGATCCATGGTATTGATATGGCTGGAAAGATTTATGGCTGAGGCACTACAGTGAAGGCATCTTTAACATATGCAGGTAGACAGAGAATTTCAGCTCCCGTGACACTTTCCTACACTTGCAATCCCCTTCTGCCATTCTCTACTAAGCTTTCTTCTAACCAACTGCACCAAACCTCTCTACAGAGGTAACCTCTGGGCATGTACATTCTTTCCAAAGTTGGGGTCTTTCCTTTAGCATTCAGAAATTGTAGCAGAAAGGTTGGTGTGCAGCTCACTTCAAAATAAGAAGCAAACCCAATCCTCAAGCATCATTTTCCCCCCTTCATTCGGGTCCCAAACTGCCTTCTTTGGGTTAAAACATATCGTAGCAACAAGAAGAGTCCCAAAGGAAAAGGTTTTGTAGTTAATCAGAAAGTGGTTTATTCACTGCTGCAGAATATGAGCTGCTTTATCACGTTACAGAGAGAATTTTCTAGGCAAGACAAGCCCAGGCACTGCCTCTCAGGTTGTTATTGTGTTGGCTTTAGAAACAGCGTAGCATGGTAGACTGTGGGCTACGTAATCAGGCAGCCTGTGTGCAACAACACATAGTACCAGACAATACAACAGCAGCATAAAACCCAGCGCATGGTAGAGTACACGTGCTCCGAGCAAAAGAACTCTCTGTATCTTTTCTTTCTCAATTTATAAACTTGCATCTGTTAACATCTGTCGCTGAATAGCTGGAACAAGTTGGTCCCATAGAAAAAAAAAAAATAGTGGAACAAGTTGGTCCCATAGAAAAAAAAGAATAACATGAGCTGGTTCTGCAGGACACCGACTATTTGCTACTGCTGTTGGTGAAAATGCATTTCAATACCAAATTTTGTAAAGCTGAAACCAGAATTATAGCCTCTGCTGTGCATACGGAGACAAAGGCAGAGGCAGGGAGGCTCTGAAGAGCAAGATATTTTATAGCTTTCTCAGACTGCCTGGAGGATCTGAGACATTCTTGTACGTTTACTAACTAGTTCCTGCATAATTTTTTAAATTTTTTTTTTGCATATGGCTTGGTTCCCACTAGTGAAATTGTTGTATTTACTGTTTATGTTTATTGCTTGGACTTATCCTGGCGTTGGATGAAAACCACGATCTGTGGTGTCTCTTTCATCTTTCTGGTTTGCATCCATTTAAATATTCCTGGCTCCATTATACTGACTCCACCTTCCCAACATGCGGATGAGTCAAAATTCAATTTGCTTAGGAATTTTGTCTGCTCTTTAGCATTTTGGTCACACTGGTCCATGGGAGCACCACCTGCTGTCACAGCAAAAGCTTTTAATTTAAGTCCTGAATGTGCAATTTCATCCCTGATAAGTGACTGTGAGATTTAAGATCACTACTCCTCGTAATACTCCGATGAGCAATATCCCAAAGCTTTTAGCTCCTGGGATGAGGAAATTGAGGCCAGCCAGGCCAACCTGACATATGATCAACTTCAGCAGAAGACTTGTGATCCTTTTTCTCATCACGATACATTTTGATGAGTTTGTTTTCAAAACCACAAGTTGTCTTATGGTCAGTAGATGGTTATTGCTGTAAAGGAATATGGTTTTTTAACGTTTTGATCCTGCTGCAGTATGTCCGTATGTATGTGTTGGTCAGAGCACAGGGGAAAGACTGATGAATCTCAAGGGACAGGAGAGCTTCAGTCAGTAGTGTCACCCATGGGCGTCATCACATACCTAAGGACGTCCAGTGACTGCTGATGGGAGTGGGGTTTTAACATGGGATTTTGTGCAAATACTTGTATTTTAAGTGAAAAATAAAAAGACTCCATTTTATGGCACGATATAATGTGAGGAAGTTTGTGACATTCATTAGGAATCCTGGTCACAAATTTTAAGCACTGATGATGTTCAAATAGCGTCACGTACCCTCATATTTTCTGATAATGCATTATTTGCGTGTCTGAGCCATTGATGAAGGTGTGTTGTGGACTTTGAAGCCTTTTGTTCTTCAAAGTGTGCAATCAGCATTTATTTTCCAGGAGATCTTCCTGAAGATACTTGCAGTTCAGAGACAATTTGCATGTCTCTAGCTAAGTGATTTAAACATTAGGGAGGGGATCAGTATTTCAACCTCTCCTCTCCTAAATTCTTACTTAGGCATCGTATGCAATTCCTTTTTAATCTAGAAATTGTCTTTGAAAAAGAAATTCAATTGTCGCACATTGAAACGTTCTTTAAGATCATGCAAAACGAAGACAAAGCTATTTGCTTTCAGAAGAGGAAAAAAGAACAAGACTCTTACAAACTTCTGTAAGTAGCTACCATTAATTCGGTGTATAATGTTGTATAATAGTGAAAGACGCAGTAGGGGAAAATAATAATTTAATGGCAAATGTAAAACTCTTTGGCGACTTTAATGACCCCATTGGGAAGCTTGTGCAAGACTCTACCAGTGTCTCTGACTAGCCAAAGATTCACGTACATCCTCAGTCTGACCCAAATTGTTTTTCCTGGAGTTTGATGTAAGAAGAAAGCTAAAACTGCAGACTCCTTGGATTAAGGACTCTGACACTCAGCTCCCAAATTGAAGAGCTGTGTCTCAAATTCCTTCACGGAAGTGTGGTAGTTTAATATTAAAATGAATAGATGAGACTGCTGATACCCTTTCATCCTGTCTCCTGAGTCAGGAAAGTAAAACAATTTGGTCCCTCAAATATATCTATTTCCCAGTAAGTATGTTTGAGACTGGTGAGGTGTAATCAGCTCTGAAAAGTGCTTTCTGTAGCAATATTATTTTCTGATTTTTGTCCAGCTGTTTGAGAGGAATTTGGCAAACCTCCAGTCCAATTCAGAGTCAGCAACAGTAATTTCTGGCTTTTTCAGAAAGAGATGTGTCAAAAACTTGTGCTCTCCATCAAGGGGGATTTCACAGGGGAGTTCATATGTGTAATTCCTAATATATACATATATATATATTCATCTGTGTCAAATGATGTACACTGCATATATTTTCCTTAGGATGCAAAATAATTTCTTTAGTAACTGAGATGAATCAGTTGATCTGACCAGGATGTGTCAAATGTTGTACACTGCATATATTTTCCTTAGGATGCAAAATAATTTCTTTAGTAACTGAGATGAATCAGTTGATCTGACCAGGAATTAACTGGGCTCAGAAGATTTTAAGATAAAAGAAACCTCTATGGTGGAATGCATATGTTAAGGTGAGGAAATTAAATCGGGGCAATACGTACAAACAGTAAGGAAAAAAAAGATCATCAGCTGGGAATATTTTGCATACAAGAAGTCTTTAGCAATTGGCTGGTAAATAGTTAGATGCACAAAGCATGTCTCAGGTCCTCAGGCACTCTAGGACACAGTATAAAAGCCAGCACAGTGAGAGCTGCAGCCATCCTCTTCTCCTGCTTTATTCTTGCTGGAAAGGGTAAGTTTGAATCTTCTCACTTTCTTTCAATGTCCTGAATTGTTGCCTTCATTGGACTTTATCTTTGCACTGTCTTGTCTACAGCAGTCTAAGGTTTATTCTCTTTATTGATTTGTGTAAGACTTTCCAGTAGCTCTTTAAAGACAGTAGCTGCTCGTTGAAGGGTGGCAGTTGCTGGGCACAGGACCTGAGACTCATTTTTAATTTGTGTCACTGGATCATTCTGTTCCAAGTGGTTCAAACGTTTGCGTGGGGATTGCTCAGCAACTAGAAGTGGCTGTGGAGAATCTGTGCAGAGATTTTTTGGCTTTCTTGGAGCTTTTTCTGTAGACAAACAACTAAGTGAGCTCAAATTTTCAAAAGCGTGCTGAGCAATATTGGAAGTACATCCCTTCTTGCACCAGGATACCGTGAAAATAATCCTGCTCTGTTCCTAAGCACTTTGGGACCAGAAAGATTTGAATCATCTCCTTCTAAAATGCTCTGAATTCTTTGACACTAGGTCTCCATCGCAGTAACATGTAGCTGAAATATTCTGTTCTATTTGCTTATCAAATTATTTTGGACACTGCCAACTTCCATTCCCCCCAGCCTCCTCTTTAGAAACAGGCAGAAAGTTGAGCTCTCTGTAAAACTGATGTGGGAGGAATTAAACAGAGAGAAAGGGGAATCATTAAATTAGGATTAGGCACGATATTTGGGGGTTTTTTTGGCTGTTTAAGACAAGCCCATCTCTGGGAGGGGTCCCTTTAGTGCGTGAATGTCACATTATCAGGTTATGCTCCTCACTTCCACCTGCTAAGGAACTTTTTTCTTCTTCTCCCTGTCACCAGAGGAAGACTCTCCTCACTGTATCATACAGGAGATCATAAGCCTTGTCCCTTGCTTCCCACCTATTGCAGGGCTGCACCCACTCTGCAGGCGTGTTGTAGGAATTGAGATATTAAAGACTGTTCAGGAGCCAGTGGAGTCACCCCTTGAAGTGTCCTCAGTAGTCTAGAGGAGTTCAGGATTCATTGAAGTCTCCTTTAAACCTAAGACTAGCACATTATTCCATTCTCCGCAGTCTCTAGTTAGCTTCTTGCACTCTCCATCGTCTCAGCAGCTTAATTACGTGACTGTAATTATAACTCTTTTTTTGTATTTACTTTCTTCCCTGTGTTACAGACTTAGTCCCATCCCTCAGCCATGTCCTGCTACGACTTGTGTCCTCCCACCTCCTGTGGCCCAACCCCACTGGCCAATAGCTGCAACGAGCCCTGCGTCAGGCAGTGCCAGGACTCCACGTACGTGATCCAGCCCTCTCCCGTGGTGGTGACCCTGCCTGGACCCATCCTCAGCTCCTTCCCACAGAATACCACGGTGGGATCCTCAGCATCTGCAGCTGTAGGGGATGCTCTCAGTGCTGGGGGGGTCCCTATCTCCTCTGGCAGCTCCCTGGGAGTCGGGAGCCTTGGATATTCAGGTCTTGGTGGCCTTTCTGGGAGGTCCTACCGTCGTTACAACCGGTGCGGGCCGTGATTAAGCCTTGGGAGAAAATCCACGAAGGAACAACCAGAAGCTTAAAAGCGTGATCCTGATGCAGGACTGAGTTGATGACCATGGCTGTGTGCTTGCTGACCACCCTCAGCTTTTCCCTAAGCTAGTGGGACTGCAGGAGCTTGGCATTTCTTATATAATGCCTTTCTCTGTTATCAAAGAGGTGAAAAATGTAACTTTTGTTGTTGCATGTAGGAGTTGGGTATCCAGCTGTAAAGCATTGCCTTGAAATGAATGATTAGTTTTATCCATGTTCAGCCCTACTGCTTTCTTATGCCATACATTTATTTTTATTATTTTTTAAAATTCTACTTCTCACTCATTAAATTTGTGGTGCATCATAATATGTGTCTTGCAAAGTTCTTCCTCCTTGGAGCTTTCTGTGGGAGAAATTTGCCTGTGCATAAATTGTCGGTACCAGGCAAACCTACATTTAAATCATACCATGGCAATTAGCAAAGAGGTAATCTTAGATAAATGAAAGCAATGAGTAATACCCCTTTTTTGAGAGGGGATATTTTCCTTTAGTCACACTTATTGAAGTACAATATTAAATAATCATTCCTGCCTCACACTCAGTGGGGTGAGAGAGGTGGGAAAGCACACACTGTCTTACAGGCAATATATAACTTCATTTCTCTGTATTCCAATTCCTTGGAGATCGTAAAATCCCAGCAATCTCTGTTATTATTTTCATATTCGCCTTGTAGATTATGAAGAAGATTTTCCCATTAACAAAAAACAGCAGTAAATACAAGGAAGAACATTGAAAAATCAACAAATAGAAGAAGAAAACTATGTATGATTTTTCCTTTGCTGGCTTATTAGTATAGGAATGCTGCAATTAGGTAGTAATTGGTTGCTAAATTACGTGGTGATCTGGGGGCCTTTGGGGCGTCACCGGAAATCCTCAGAGCAATAACAATTACCAGCCTCCTCTGAACCTTAAGGAAGATAATGACTGCTAAATTGTTAAACAAACATTCATCAACACAACGATGTGGATGCCTTAAGGATCCCAATTAAACTTTCATTCCACGTTTTAAGGAGAGATTGAGTAGGGCAGATTGTTTGATAAAGTAACTCAGCACAACAGGGAGTTTTGCTCCCGGAGGAGGCTAAAGGACAAACAAAGACCAAAGAGGTTCTTGTGCAACACCACAGGGTTTTAATGGGAAAGAGAAGCAGAGCAACCCGTTACAGAAAATCAAGGCAAAAAATACAAGGGGAAACGCATGATGCAGGTGTCACGCTCTGGTACCAGTGCCCCGCTCAGGACGCAGGGGACAGATGAGGTGATGGAGGGATGCAGGGGGGACCGAGGCTCAGCGTAGTGGGCTGCTGCGCACACACAGCCTCCACTTGTGCCCATGCCAGGGCCACTGGTGCAGGCTGCTGGTCTCCACGGCTCTTGCTCCATGTCCTCATGCTGCGGTCCTTGCTTCAGGGCTGTTCCTGGTCCTGCGCACCATCCTGGGGCCTTTAGTAAGACCCACAGCTCTCGTGGTGGGATGAGCCTTCCCTCTGGCCACCAGAGATATGACTCCTCGTGGCAGAGGAGGAGAAGCCAGAGCCGTGGGATCTCCCACTATTGCCAAAGCCACTGGACCCATGGCCCTGGGAGCCCCCATAGCCCTGGGAGCCTCCGTAGCCCTGGGAGCCCCCATAGCCCTGGGAGCCCCCATAGCCCTGGGACCCCCCATAGCCCTGGGACCCCCCATGGCTCTGGGAGCCCCCGTAGCCCTGGGAGCCCCCATGGCTCTGGGACCCCCCATGGCTCTGGGAGCCCCCGTAGCCCTGGGAGCCCCCATGACCAAAGAGGTTCTTGTGCAACACCACAGGGTTTTAATGGGAAAGAGAAGCAGAGCAACCCGTTACAGAAAATCAAGGCAAAAAATACAAGGGGAAACGCATGATGCAGGTGTCACGCTCTGGTACCAGTGCCCCGCTCAGGACGCAGGGGACAGATGAGGTGATGGAGGGATGCAGGGGGGACCGAGGCTCAGCGTAGTGGGCTGCTGCGCACACACAGCCTCCACTTGTGCCCATGCCAGGGCCACTGGTGCAGGCTGCTGGTCTCCACGGCTCTTGCTCCATGTCCTCATGCTGCGGTCCTTGCTTCAGGGCTGTTCCTGGTCCTGCGCACCATCCTGGGGCCTTTAGTAAGACCCACAGCTCTCGTGGTGGGATGAGCCTTCCCTCTGGCCACCAGAGATATGACTCCTCGTGGCAGAGGAGGAGAAGCCAGAGCCGTGGGATCTCCCACTATTGCCAAAGCCACTGGACCCATGGCCCTGGGAGCCCCCATAGCCCTGGGAGCCTCCGTAGCCCTGGGAGCCCCCATAGCCCTGGGAGCCCCCATAGCCCTGGGACCCCCCATAGCCCTGGGACCCCCCATGGCTCTGGGAGCCCCCGTAGCCCTGGGAGCCCCCATGGCTCTGGGACCCCCCATGGCTCTGGGAGCCCCCGTAGCCCTGGGAGCCCCCATAGCCAAGGGAACGGCCATACCCTCGTGAACCCCCAAAGCCCCCACGGCTTCCAAAGCCAAAGGAGCTTCCATAGCCTCGGGAACCCCCAAAGCCCCGGGAACCCCCAGGGAGCCCCCATAGCCCTGGGAGCCTCCGTAGCCCTGGGAGCCCCCATAGCCCTGGGAGCCCCCATAGCCCTGGGACCCCCCATAGCCCTGGGACCCCCCATGGCTCTGGGAGCCCCCGTAGCCCTGGGAGCCCCCATGGCTCTGGGACCCCCCATGGCTCTGGGAGCCCCCGTAGCCCTGGGAGCCCCCATACAAAGGAGCTACCATAGCCCTGGGAACCCCCAAAGCCCCCAAAGCCCCCAAAGCCCTGGGAGCCTCCATAACCCCCAAAGCCTCCCAGACCAAAGGAACCCCCAGAGCTCCCATAGCCCAAGGAACCCCCATAACCCCCCAAGCCAAAGGAGCCTCCCCCATAACCCTGGGAGCTTCGGGAACTAAAGGAACCCCCCAACAAGGCTGGGCCAGATGATCCCACAATGCTCTCCTGAGGGAAGGAGCTGAGGATGGGGCCTGGCATTGTCACCACAGCTGGTGGGGGTAAGATGACTGTCGTGGAGTCAGGGCATTGCTGCACACATGGCTCATTGCAGCTCTCGGCAATTGGCTCAGGGCAGGTCACCCCACAGGGTCCAGAGAACTCGCTGTAGCAAGACATTATTCTTGAGGTGGATGGGAATCTGAAATGCACAACAGGAAGGAGGTTTCAGAGGCAGAAAGTTTTACCTGACTCTAGATGCCTGCGCTTGCTTTATAGTTTGTGGAAACTGTGCCACCCCAGAGTTCATTATCTTGCAATGTATCCCTACATCTGGTCACGTACATCACATCCGAGACTCTGTTTTCTGTCAAGATGCCCTAGATGGCATGCAGATGCCACCATCTAATGCCATGTATGCTGAGTCCTACGCTTGATATCACTGCTTTTTCTTGTACCATGAAGAATCAAATTCATGAGACCAGCTGGAACAGACTCAATTATGGTATTTACAGGAAGTTATGAAAAAAGGTATCAGAGCCAGTTATGTCTATAGTTTCCTATTGCCTTCCCAGTAGCACTCAACTTACAAATAGGAATCTTTGTCCTGATGGGTCAAATACTACTACAAGGTGGTAGATACTATGATCACGGATATATTTAAATTTTATATTGTATGTAGATCCAGAATTGGAACTGAAATGCCTGGCAATTGGTTATTCAAAGTGGCAGAGTAAAACTTCCCATTTTGTTCTAAGGATAACACCTTCTGACGAAGAGAAAAAAGGCTTGAAGAAGAGAGAGGTTGAGCCAAATCGGACTTACCCTGTTCACCAAGGAGAATAGAGCAGGAGATGTGGATAGAGAGGCTTGGAGTGGAGAGAGCTTTTATACCTTTCTCAAACACCCCTACATAGTAAGAAAACAACCTTCCCATTGAGGGATTTAATTTTCCTTGCTTTGCACAGCCACTCCCCACCTACAAAACCAAGCGCGACACAACGTCAGTACCAATTTGTGGGCATTGGCCTGGTGAATGATGAGATCATTCAGACATCTGGTACCCAGCACCAGCACTGGGGCATCTGCTATTTAATTCCACTTTAAGCTTCAAGCTAGTAAATTTGAGCTTTAGGGTGGATGAGTGAGGACCAGTTCAAGCTATCTGTCTGTTAAGAGTAGTGGCATTTAAGTGAATACCATGAAAATATGTGCAAGCTGGGTAAGAAGAGGGAGAAAGATGATAGGAAGAGGGAGTATTTCAGGTATTTACATCTAGTTCAGAAACAGGGTTTTTAACATCTGTATTTGCTGATCAAATACCATTAATTACTCTTCAATTACAAAGTGGACTCCATTGTCATTTTTACTGCTGTCTTCCGAAGTGTCACTGAGGCACTAACGCTTCAGAGATGTTCCAGATCCCCCTAGGAATGATAAGAGGCTTTACAAACACCCACCAAAAATTCATATTTGATGTGTTGTACCATTGTTATACACAAACACCCAACTGTCAGCACGCAAAATCTTGTGCAAGCGCTTCAGTTCAGAGACATGTGAATGAAATGCTCTGTGTCATTAGGTACAGCTTCATGCAGAAGAGGAGGAGTCATTTAGTGGTGAGAGCAAGCGATCTGGAAAGTCTAGGGTAGAGATTTCAGGACATCAGTTTGAAACCCCTTGTTTTTCAGGACATGGACAAAAAATGCAAATAATTTCAGATAAAATAAATTCAGATAATTTTTAATGGGACTCTTTTTTTCCCCTCCCCTAGAATTTAAGGCAATAAACATTTCAGGCATACTAGCAAAATACTGGCTATAGTCTGTAACATAGACATGTCATAATCTCTCCAAACATAGCAATAATAAAATAAAGAACTTGATACCATGAATGAAAATAAAGTCATTGCAATCATTGAAGTTTTAAATCACAGTCTGTTTAGGGAATCAAAAGGAGTGCCATTGGTTGTCATATTTTTTAATGATGCTGTTTCATAACAAGGGAGCTTCTAAATCCTGCCCTTCTTTATTTAATATTATAATAACCAAAATTGCAAACACTAAGTATTAACGAGTATTTGTGAAGCAGCTTAAAGTCATTATCTTCCAGGTGCCTCTCATTATTTTCAGTGCATCCTGATGACACTTCAAAGGCACAGCTACCTTACAATTTAGAGGCAATTTATAGCCTATATTTTGCAATATTGTAAAATTATAAAACAAGAGATCTGCAAATAACTGTATGATGCTACAGAATTATCCCATTAAAATATATCCTTTTTAATTTCTCACTTTTTCTTAAGTGCTCGGTACTTCAGGTGTTGGGGCAGGGAGGGGGAAGAAAATTAGAATGGTTTAAAAATATATTTCTAACTGAACTTCTAGAAGTAGGGATTTCAACTGAAATTTTGAAATGTTTGGTATTAGCTTTAGGCGGGGACTCTGTCAACAGTTGTGGCTCCATCAAGAAGGCCTTTTCTGCCTGATTGGGAGTGTCACTCAGCCCATCCATTCTTCTGTTAACCTGGTGGCATCTGAATTGTCTCAGAAGATTTGAGATGGATGTTGGGAGAGGTTTTAATGGACTGATTCTAGCTCCACTTGGGTTGTAGTTAATATTTTTAGTGATGATGGAGCTGTATCACTCCCCTCTATCATTTCACAGGTACAGTAAATCTGACATTGATCATCCCACCTGGGTTAATTGTGAGTAAAGTGTAAAGCTTAGAGCACAGGCAAAAACTTTTCCCAAGGCCTCATTGCTTTCATGTTGTTATTAGCAATAGTGATGTTCCATCAGGAGTGAGCCTGCATCATGTCAGGTCTTTCCTCCGCTGTACAACATTTATAGATCCCCAGCCAGTTGTGGGGAGAACTTATAAAATCATTAGAATCATAGAATTTCCCATGTTGGAAGGGACCTTCAGATCATCCACTCCAATCCTCAACCCAACGCTGACAAAAACCATCACTAAACTTCTAGCTTGTGTTGGGTGACCTTCACGTGGTTTGTGCACATGGCCCCATAAAAGGTTCCATGCCACGTGAGCACTACCTTGAAAACGAAAATGGGACTAACGTGACGCAAGCGTCTTGTTCTGGTTTTCAGTTGGTGACTGTATGGCAAACCTTCAGCTCCAAGTTCTCCAAATCCCCTAAAATGACGATCACCTATAACTGATTGTTGCCCGCAGTTGTATTACACCCACACTGACATTTGGGAGGGACAGCGCTGAGGTGGCAAAATTAAAGCTCCCACTATCGTGATTGTTTTGTAACCAATTAAGACCAGAGGCACAAAGGGTGCCTGAGAGAAGCATATAAAAGCTCGTGTAACCTGTAGCCTTTCCATCCACTTCTCTTGTCTCGGTCTCTGCAGTGAACCGGGTAAGTGTGATCTCCCTCTTTCTTTCTACTACTAGCATTTAACTTTAACAATTCTTCTGTCACAGAGTTGACTCCTGCATGTGTTTTTATAGACTTGTATCCTTATGAAAATGTGGTTTTGTCCTCTATTAGGATAGGAAGTAGATTTCCAAGCTATAGAAATACTTCAGGTGAATTAAACCTCAAAAAGTCTGAATTAACGTATATACTCTCCACTCCTCTCGGCTGCCTTTTCACTGGTTCTTAGGCTTTCTGAGTGCATCTTCGACAGTCCAAGTTGCTATAGACAGATGTGTTTTGGGCCCCTACCATAAAAAAGACATTGAGGTGCTGGAGCGGGTCCAGAGAAGGGCGACAAAGCTGGTGAGGGGTCTGGAGAATAAGTCTGATGAGGAGAGGCTGAGGGAGCTGGGGGCGTTCAGCCTGGAGAAGAGGAGGCTGAGGGGAGACCTTCTTGCTCTCTACAACTACTTGAAAGGAGGGTGTAGAGAGGTGGGGGTCGGTCTCTTTTCTCAAGTCACAGGCGACAGGACAAGAAGAAATGGCCTCAAGTTGCCCCAGGGGAGGTTCAGGCTGGATATTAGGAAAAAATTTTTCACTGAAAGGGTTCTCAGCCCTTGGAATGGGCTGCCCAGGGAGGGGGTTGAGGCCCCATCCCTGGAGGTGTTCAAAAGCCGGGTTGATGTAGTGCTGGGATGTATGGTTTAATGATGATGTTCCTCAGTTGTTGTGGTGGTGTCTATTTTTGTCAGTCAGGTTGACGGTTGGACAAGATGATCTTTAAGGTCCCTTCCAACCTAGAAGATTCTGGGATTCTGTAGTTCTGTGTCTGTCTAATTTATCCAGTAATGAATTTGTATTTCACACCAAATCATTTACAAAGGTGATCACAATGAGATGAAAGGAAGAGTGAAGGTTGAGAGAATTTTATTTGTTAACATGTATAAATTTATCTGTTTCCCTGTTAACTTCTGTTAGTTAGTTCTGGTACTTAAGACAGAGAGCAATTGCTTAATAATATTGGTTCACCTTTTTCCAGCCCAACTCTGGTATTTGTTTACTTACCTTAAACCTCCTTCCTGTTGTGCATTTCAGATTCCCATCCACCTCAAGAATAATGTCTTGCTACAGCGAGTTCTCTGGACCCTGTGGGGTGACCTGCCCTGAGCCAATTGCCGAGAGCTGCAATGAGCCATGTGTGCAGCAATGCCCTGACTCCACGACAGTCATCTTACCCCCACCAGCTGTGGTGACAATGCCAGGCCCCATCCTCAGCTCCTTCCCTCAGGAGAGCATTGTGGGATCATCTGGCCCAGCCTTGTTGGGGGGTTCCTTTAGTTCCCGAAGCTCCCAGGGTTATGGGGGAGGCTCCTTTGGCTTGGGGGGTTATGGGGGTTCCTTGG